GCAAATAGCTCCTCCACGACAGTCAGAAGTCGTGGAAATGAAATCCACCAACATGATTCATGTGTACGTTTCTTTCTACAAAGGAAAATATAAGATTAGAATTAATTTGCCTATTATATAACTCCTCGTACTAATACATTACTTGAGCACATATATATACCATGATAATTTTCAGTTGTGTTATACTCAGTGGCTGAATGATCTACGAGCTAGCCTTGAAATCGGAAGGTTCTGTGTTTTACCCCTGTGGATGCGTACTGTTGAAGAGCCCCAAACTAGGACGAGACAGCTAACCAGTACTCCGTGGTTTTCATGTCGGTGTTACAGTGATGCTTGCTAACCGTGCATATGGCTCAGGTCTTGGTTCCTGGCCGACCCACTCCTAAATTTCGCCTAGCTTGTAGTTAAGCCCTAATAAGATGGCAGGTTAGAAGTGAGGGTAACAATCCCACCTCGTAAAAACCAAAGGACTACTACTGAAACTCCAAAGCCCAACCTTGAAGCCATATTATAAAGGTAGAAGACGAGAGACTTGATAAAGGAATGTTTATTTGGAATTTGGTATCTCTGTATACCGAAATTATGTACACTTCATCCTTAATACACCATTTACACAGATCTTCCGTGTTGTGCTACTTCCGAGCTTTATATTGTGTTTCTCTGTGTTCGTGTCACGTCTCCCATGTATCTCCGCAACGATGTATCATTTGCTTTCTCTGAAATCGAATGTATCTCCCTGGTGGGATGAACATCTCCTTATATACTACTGATAAATCGTATCAGTAGTACTCGCCTTAATATGTTTCATTCGTAATGCAAAGGAATAAAATTAATAATAAATATCGTAAATGAAAACCTACTGGATTCTCTTTTTTTCTTACTTTTTTCCGTTAGCTCTTTATTTTTGTTTTTCATTATTCACTTTCTTTTATCTAGTGGTGGTTCAGTGTGTACGAAACGTTTTCACAGGTATACCATTACAATGGTTGAAGGCGAAATAAGTAGATTTTCGCCTTTATATGTCAAAGGTTTCTTTCTCAGTTTTTATTATTTCTTATCACGTGTCGTTGTTTTATGTTGTTGTTGTTGTTGCTTTTTTTCGCTTCTGAGAATTGTTTACTTTCACAGATTGTTATCTTGTTTATTTATTTGTTTCTTACCTTGAAGTTTGTTTTCATTGGTTTACTGTTACATAATATGGTTTCATTTTGGTTTACTTTGATAAGATGTGGTTTCTGGGTTCATTCATATAATATATATATATATATATACTTGATTTCACTATTAAATTCACTATCTGAAAATGAACATTTTCATAATTCTGCTGCTTTAAAGGTTGGTATTAGAAAATTGAATCCCTACGACTAATAGCTACTACCTTTATTTGCCGGTCAGGCTTGTATATATTTAGTTACATATTCAGATGTATTCACTCTTTGTAATCTGTCAGGATCCACATCAATCTTCATTATCCTGCATGTAATTATTCTTTCTTGCCTACATTTCTGTTTATTATAGCTAATTTGCACTTTTATTTATTTACCTTCATAAAATGTGTGGAGACACTTGAACTCTGCTGCAGTTTTGTGCAAATTTCTACCTTAGAAATTCAGTTCAATCCAGTTATGTAACAGTTTTGTAACTTTATAGATCGACATTTTATAGGTGGAAATAGTTTCATCATGATATTGGTTATTATTATTATATTTTTGGGTTCCTGGTGGAGCGTAGAGATTAAGCAGAACACTGGTATTTCACTCTGTTATCTGCAGTCTTTGTTTTATTTTTAGCTGGCTCCACAATGGCCCATAAGCTTTGATTTCCTCCTTCTCAAACTGTTTCCTACATTTCACCCTCGAACATATGCAGAACTTGTCGTTTCTCATTCCTGTCTCACTTTAGGGTCTGCTATGCGTATGGTGTCACTCAATGGTCGCCTCAGCGTGAATGTCCAGTCCATCTCGATTTTCTTCTATATATTTGTGGGACTATAATTTCATGATTGGTTCACTGCAAGAGTTCCTTGCTGCTAATCCTTTCTGGCCATCTGATCTTCAGGATGGAGCAAAGTCAGATGTTGATGGAAGTCTGCAATAGCCTGTTTGAAATACTTTTGGTGACACATGCTAAGTCTCTGAATCATATAGAAGCAGTGACTTGACATTAGTCTTAGAAAATCCGGATCTTGTTCTGTATTGTTGATCTACACACTGATTTCAGAGCTGTGAACACCAGTTTTGTCTTTTTGATCCCGTTTGGCTATGATATCATCATCAGGGCTACCTGCAAATAGGGAGTTAAACCATCCCCTAACTCTCTTTCAGGACAAACGGCTGAAACGTTTGAAGTAACATTTTGATGAGAAATTTAAATAGCCTACACCCACACTCAAATTGCCCAGTATCCAACATCTACCCGAATAGGATGGTCCTCAATCTGTAACTGAGGTTACAAAGGCTTTTTCTGGTTTGAGACCCTACAAAGCAGCAGGGCCTGGTAGAATGACTCCAAAGGTGTTTAAGGACGGTGGGGACAGTCTGCGTTAACTAAGGTATTAGGAAGCGTCTGGGAATCAGAGATAGTCCCGTCCCGTCCCACTATACAAGAAGGGAGACAAGTCTTCCTGTGATAATCACAGGGGGATTAACTTGACTAATATGGTACCTAAAGCTCTAGGCTCAATAATAATGCGTAGACTAAGTGGTGCTCAGGAGGCATAAACACGAGAGAACCAGGCAGGTGTTAGACCAGAAAGAGGGTGTATTGGTCATGTCTTCAACCTTCGACAGATACCGGAATATAGGCATACTTACCGGCTTTCAACAATCGTTATATTTCTTGACCTAAAAGCAGCATTCGATTCTGTCGATCGACTCTGGCGATGCTTGACTGTAAAACGAATACCGAGAAAATACATTGCACTGATCAAGGTACTCTACTCGAACTCATACAACCAGCCAGGTGAGAGCCTACAAAGGGACAGTTGTCATCTGAAGTGGTAACAACTAGTGGTGTCCGTCAGGGATGCCTACTATCCCCATTTCTACTCAATTTCATCATAGATGTACTAATAGAATTAACCCTAACTCACTTCAGTAACTCAGAGATTGACTTGATACCGTCAGGATATAATCTCGTTGACTTAGAATATGCAGATGATATAGTCCTGCTTCTAGGTGAAGACGCTGACAAAATGCAGAGTCTTCCGACCACCTTGAGTTGGAATCTTTGAATGTTTGGAATATGATTCGTTCGCGTCAAATGTGAGATGATGCTACAGGACTGGACTGAACCACATTGACTACTAGTTGTAAGATAGGCAGGAGTGAAGTGGAAGAGCGTTTTGACCACCAGATCAACTATTTTGTGTAGCCAACTTAAATCGTCTGTAGCGTAAATATGAAATCCGGCTATCAATCAAACGAATTGTGTACTGTGCATTAATGTGCTCTGTACTCGTTTCATGGCTGTGAGACACAATCATTGATAGCGGAAGATATGAAAGCGCTAACCGTCTTTAATCATAGGTTTGTTTTTGTCTGTTCTATCTCCCGTGTCAGATGTTAAGATGGGATTAGGAATATTGAGGTTGGGCGTAGAGTGTTAAGTAAGGAAGAAACGTCAGTCTATGTGGTTGTGAAGCAATATCAACTGAGATGGTCAGCAGAGGTTTCGCATGCCTAGCCATCACCTTCCTTGACAGGCAATGTTAGCTGACAGCGTAACGACAGAAGAGAAGAGCCAGGGAACAGATCATTTATTGAGAAAACCAAGAGATATTTTTAGATTTTTATGTACATTATTATTCGTTATTTTAGCAGAGAAGCAATGTCTTCTGACTGGTTGTTTTCTTGCTGAAAGTTATTCTGCACTACTTGTGACTGTTTCTCAGAAAGTTAAGTCATATGTCTGCGAATCGTATTTGCACACGTCAAATCCGCTGTGATTGGTTGGTGAGTTCCCCAAGGTTAAGCTTTGTCATTGTTATTTCTCATGACCCCGATTTGGACGTGACATTGACGTAAATTATTGACAATTTTTGGCTTGCAGCTAGCTCTCACCACAATAGGAGTAGGTTGGAAAAAAAACTAATGGCGGTCAAACCACGAGTTGACATCAGTCCATGAGATCTCTGACAGTTGGCTTAAGCCACCTGGGGGGAGGTGTGGACTGCCTTGTGGGTGTCCTATGGAGACGACTAATGGTATGGCTCAAAATGTTTCTCAGTGGCGCAGATGCATTCACTCCCATATCCAATAAAACTTTATTGTTTTTCTATGTTAATATTCTTACTCCCTTAATTTTCTGCTTATTATAGTCATTTTGAGTTGTTGTTTTTCTCTCCGTCTCTCGCCTTCGTTTTTGTGGTACATAGAGTATTGTAATTTAAATTGCTGCACTTGCATATGTGCAGATTTCTATGTTGAAACTCAGTCAGTGAGTTCCATCCATATTTGAAACTATTATTTATTATATTATTATTGTTCCCTTGGGTTACTAGTAGAACAAAGGGCTTCAATTGCACGTCTCCACTTGCTTCTGTCTTTTGCTGTACTTTTCACCTGCATCCATGTTAGTCCATACTGTTTCAGCTCCTCTTCACACGATCTCCTCCATGTCACCCTTGGACGTCCCACTCGCCGCTTCCCTTTCGGGTTCCACTCGAGCTATGGCCTGACGCGCGATGTCACCCAGCGGTCTCCTCAGCGAGTGTTCAATCCATCTCCACTCTCTCCTGCATATTTGTTGAGCGATTGGTTCTTTTTTTGTTTTTTCTCATAGTTTGAAACTGTGCTACCTAAATAAGTGAAAGGCGTTACTAACTTAAGATTTCTCCCATGGATTGTGATCGTTGTTGTTGGTCTTCAATGTTTTTCATTTGATGAGGAAATAATTTCTTGACATTTATCATAAATAACTTCATTAATGCGAAATGTGTGTATGTATATAATCTTCATTTTTCTGTCTCCTACCTTTCTCCCTTTTTTATTTGATACTAGAATACGTCGTAACTTTTCATTGTCATTTCGATCTTCAAAAAAACTGCGTAAAAGAAAATCTTCATGGACAGATGGAGCTAATAGTAGCAATACTACTATTATTAATAATAATAATAGTAATAATGGTAGTACAAATATCAGTAATGTACTACTACACGGGTACATATACTGTGTAACACTCATTTTCCTAATAAATTCCCTTTTTTCACTAAACACTTACACGCTTATTTCGTAACCATAATGAGTGCTTTTATCTTAATAATTAAGGCTTACCATCATTTTGGGTTGTTCTTATTTTCCTTTGGATTTCTGCTAATCAGAAAATAATCAGGGTGATCACAGTGTATGCATTATATAATTCCATTATAGGAATACACACATAACTTACTGATTTCCTGCTTGCTATGCTTTGTGTATATGTGAAAATTTACGTCCTTTCTAACATGCTGTTTTTGATTAAAAAAATAACACATTTCAGTTAAGTTGTTCTCACATTTGAACTGTCATAAAATATGAAGCTCGCTTAACTAATTTTCACACTCCTCTGCATCACTATCATCATTAATCTTGTTGTGTGTATAACGTATTAATCACGCTATCATTTTCTGAAATTCATTCAACTGGTCTTCAATATTATAGTAAACTGACAGCATTGTAGGTCCAATACAGGTAAAGTTGGTAAACTTCAAAGTAGCTTACAGAAAGTAGTGAGATATAGGGTGCAACAAAAAGGATAGAAAGGGGACAGAATATTTGATTGGAGTTTTATAAACACATATTCACAATTTCATCCGTATTGCAGGCCAAAAATCATTATGTTTCTTGAATTTAGAGCTGCCTTCAATTCGTTGAACAGAACTGTCCTCTGGAATCGTCTGTTAGAGAGGGATGTACCTGAGAAGTTTCTTAATATCCTAAAAGCCCTATACAGAAACACCCTATGTTGACTAAGGACATACAACCAGGAGTGTGGTTAGACAGGGTTGCTCAGTTTCTCCATGTTTCCTTAACTTTGCCATCGATGACATTCTGGAGTCAGCTGTGAAGGATATGTATGTTAGTGGTGGTGTAGTCCTGCTTCCTGGAGAAAGACTTTTAACCTCGAGTAGGCAGATGATATCGTCTTGATATGTGATACTATGCAGACTGCTTATTTCGCCCTTAATCACTCGGCGACCAGTATCTGTAGGTATGGTATGTGCTTTGTGCCGTCCAAGTGCAAAGTACTGTTACAAGATTGCCAGGAACCTGTACTTGCACTCGATCTTGCAGGTGAACTGCTTGAAATTGTCCATAAATTTGTGTATCTGGGTAGTTGTGTGAGTGCTGGTAAAGATGTGATGGACGAGATTTATGACCGTATCATGACAGCTACTGTAGCGTAGGCTAATTTGAGCCACTTTTGGCACATTCGCAATGCCAGCCTGGCTGTCAAAGGCCATATTTACAATGTCTCGATGCTCGCAGTCTCGCTCTACGCTTGCGAAACCTGGCATCTCCGAGATGAAGATGTTTGGCGACTCTGCGTATTCGATCATCACTGTCTCCATATGATTGCGTGCGGCCTATGACATCATAGTGTGAATAATTCTGAGGTCCTGCAGCGTGTGTGTTTAGACACGATAGCGATCATAATTCTTCGAGTGTCGTCATTTGGAAACACCGGCTTTGTGTTTTAAATAAAATAAATAAATTATGATCACAAAACAACAGTGAAAATCCAACCCTTATTGTAATCGATTCCGGATAAATACCAGAACCTACTTATATGTCACAGAGGAGAGAATTACAGTACCATTTGTTGGCTTAATCATTCACAATGCATTAATCTGTATATTTCTACTTAGTAAAATAATAATCGCATTATGACATTTTTTATAGGGATTCGGATTAATTTCATTTTAGATTGCGTCACGAATCTCAGTATCAGGCAGAGAGAGAGGGAGAATAACTGAAAAACGAGGAGTACAAAATCCATAATCTAAATATGATTATCCACTTCATTGGTGACTACTGGATGCGGGAGGGGGGAGATGTCCTGAAGTTATAATGAGAAGTCGTTATCAGAAGAGGGTTCACTATGCCTGTTACAAAGCGAAGTGGACATTCATCGATGGCATTGGTTTGCAGAAGCACTGCATCATGAATTGATAGATGTTATAAATAGTGACACAATAGCTGAATATTCAACAAGCTTGACCTTATAATCTGAACTTTCCAGGTCATGCGTGGATTCTGTTGAAGAGTCTCGAACTAGGAGGAAACAGCTATCCATTCTGTAATTGGTGTTAGTTCTCAACGAAATCTAACTGTCCTTCCCTTTCTTAAAATAAACAAATAAATCACAACTTTCAATGTCATATATAATCAATAAATTAAGGTTGAGTTGTTAGTGAGTGGGTGTGCGAGTGAATGCACGTGATCATAACGAAGAAGATCCATTGATCATTCAATTCCTCATCAACTCTTGTTTGTTTATAATAATTGAACAGGAAAAAAGGAGCAACAACAAAACGAAAGCCTTTTTTTCTTCTATGCCGTTATGCGTTATAATGACTGTTTTATTTAATAGCAAAACGAAATGTAAGCTTTGAAGTGTATTTAACGGCTGTAAAATTATGTTGGTAAAGAAAATTTTCTTCATTTTTTTGTTTTGAAGTTTATGACTAGATAGTTTGACTTTGTTTTTGAAAAAAGACAGAAAAAGAACTCGATATCGATAGTATTAATCTTCTTCAGTTTTGAATCTGTCGTGTTTTTATCAAAAACCAAATGTGTAATAAAGCATTCACAATTTCTGATCATTGCTCTGTGTTATTGATTATTAAAAAATATACGTATATATGATGGTTCCTTTTGCAGTACGCAAATCTGCGTTATGGAATAAGTGTGAAGCCATACTCTACTGATATGTATGAAACTACATACATACACTCGCCAGTAGTACTTATTAACCCCAGCCAGATTGAAGTGTTCTAAACACCAGACTGTCGTTTCATCCGTTTTGGGCCGAATTCATCATCAGTGTGCCCGGCTTGACTCAGCCTAGAGAACCGAATCAGCTCCAACCATCTAGATATACCGTTGATGTACTCGACCTCAAACGAGGGAAACACCCTACCGGTGTTTAGATCACTTCGATGTGGCTGGCTTGCTAACAAGTACTACTGTTGAGTAATTTGAGTGGTATGCAACTACTCATCTCAACCAATCAGTAGTGTGTAGTTTGATGAAAAATCTTTTTCCTCTTTCTTTGTTTTTTTTAACTCTGTGTTTATAATTGGTGAAAAATTATCATTTTCAGTTTTTACTATGCCCTAAATTAGATCAGATCAATTCCACCAAAGAATAATTTCAATTGATAAATACACATATTGAGTGAGGGATGAAGTTGAGTGCTCAAAGTGTCTTCATAAGACTTTCAGTTCTGGTGAAGCCATTCACAAATACTCAAATGTTCTACTTGTTCCTTCTAAAGCCCACTTACTTTTTTTATTCCTTTGCGTTCCTAGTTGAACATACGGCTTCAAGCTTGGCATTTTAGTAGCGTTAGAGTTGTTCTTTTTACGAGGAAGCGGTGGGTGGGTGAGTGTTGCTAGCTTCACAACCAGCTAGGCGAGGTTTAGGAATGCATCGGTCGGGAACTGAACCGTGGACCACGTCCACCGTTGACGAGTATTCAAATTCTACCCACTGAATCACTGACGCAAGATTTATGCATATTTCATTTATCTCTTATCAGGTGTTCATTAACATGCTTACTACTAATCTTTTTTTCATATTTGTTCGTTTCGTTGTTTCGTTTTTTTTTCTAATGTAATCTGCTATACATATATACACATACAAGTGCTCTTCTTTAATCGATATTGTGATGATCTAACATGCTTTTAATGGTTTATTGTGTTATTGTTTGTTTCACTCTGTTTCGCTTTGCTTATATGTTAACCTTAATTACACTGACTGTTTTTTCATCAATAAGAATTCTCACAATTAATATCGATCATTTTATTATTATGCTTCTTCCTCTGCTCTCAATACAGATCACACTCATCCACTCAAAGATGTGGTCAATCACCTGTATTTGGTTCAGATCAACGACTTTGGGATATACAAGTGGAATATTGGTCTATACCTAGTCATACTACTACTACAACTACTACTTCATCGAACTCCAGTACTCAAAGTAACCAAGTTAATACAGTGTCTGGTAGTGCTAGTAATACTATTGTTCCTTGTCCTATAAGTCCACCAAGTACAACATCTGATACTGTTTCACCTCCTCGACGCTCTACTCTCAAAACTGTATCCCCTGGGCTAGTTGTTACAATAGACTCGTCAATTTCTGCTGCGAGTCATACTGCATCTCCTCTACGTAGTGGTGATATATTCGGTGTTGGTACAGAACCTAATTCCAGCAGTGTAGTACACTCACCACTTCGTCATACACCATTTAATCTTAGTCAAACGCATTCTCAGCATTTAGTTCTTGGATTATGGACAAAAGAGAAAAAACAGAAAAGTGAGTATATTGTGGGTGTGTGCCTGCGTGTTGATGTTATATAAATCTTCAGTTTCGTTTGTAAAAATGATACTTTGGAGTATAAAAACGAAATGAAAACTTTGTGCAAATTGAGTTACTTCCCTGTATATTAGATTGGTTTCGAGTTGATCGATTACACTTTATTATTTAAATTTGAGAGGATTTTAAAACCCTGCTGAAATACAGTTGATCACTATCGAATTATTTTTGAATTTTATTTCCTTAGACATAGTTACTAAGTTCCATATTAGACAATTTTATATGGCATAACACACAGCAATACAGCTGGTTGTAGAGTACTCGATTCAAGGTGTGATGTAAAAGTGTTAGCAAGTAGTGGACCAAACGGAGACTCCATAGTTACTTTCTCTTGCAGTCTATATATTTTAACATTAAACACAAATTGTACGTTGAGCGTGCATCTTAGTATTAGCTCTTGAATATATTTAGTGGGTATTCCAACATATAAATTTCTTGAATCAATAAATTTACATAGACAGGATACTGTGTATGTCAGAGAAACGTTGGTGAACGGAGAGATGGCATCCAGGTGAGCAATACTGAGGTTAGGCGTCGAGTGCTAGGCAAGGCGGGGAAATCAGTTGACGAGACTGTGAAATTACATCGACTGAGATGGTTAGAACATGTGCTACGTATGTCTAGTCATCGCCTTCCTCGACGGGCAATGTTAGCTGATATAGGGTCAGGCTGGAAAAGAGCTAGCGGCGGTCAAACGAAAACATGGCACCAGTCAATGAAATCTACAACAGTTAGTCTAAGCCACGTAGGAAGGTGTAGACTTCCTGGTTGGGGTCCTCGGGACGGTAAAAACCAATGGTTGGAAACAATTGGTGACATGGCTCAAAATGCTTCTCAATGGCGCAGATGCATCCACTCCTTGTGACTTACAATTTCCAATGGAACTATATTGTTCTCCGTTATTACTATTCCTTTGTCTCACACCTCTGTTTACTGTCATTATTATGCATTTCTCCTACTTTCTTCTCTTGCTTTGTGTGCTATAAGGAGGGAGTGTGGCAACTTGAACTGCCGCACATATGTGCAAAGTTCTATGTCGAAAACAGACAGACAGACAGACATGGCATCTAATCTCATTTACTGAGTCCACATAATCAAAGGTGCATTTTAAAGAGTGTGTATGTCACCATTATCTTTCGAATAGCTTCCAAAATTTCTGCTAACCACACTGAGGGCTACATAAAATCGCAAAGTGATCTAGACATATTCTAAAAACTAGATGCATAGGTAATTCTTCGTTGTGAATAATCAGCTGTTTCACTAATAAGGACACTGTTGTCTTTTTCTCCAACTGGATTTATGAACTTGGCGTTGTCGTTGAGAGAATTGTTCAAATCCTCTTGTATATAATCTGATTTGTTTAGTCAGACAACTCTACAACCTTTATCCGGAAGTGTACATTGATCATGCCTTATTTATTGTTTATTTCTTTCATTTCTGTGATGTGTTGCTTAGTCACAAGTCGGTAATATTTCTCGTTTGAATTATTGAGTGTTTTTTTTTACATAAAAAATAATAATTAATGTTTCACTGTTTGTATGAATAAAACCAATACACTTATTGTTAATTTTTTTTCTAAAATTATTTTGAAGTAGAGTCCATAGAATTTCGTCCTTTTATCGTAGGTACAGGGATCGAAAATGTTCGGCAAGTGAGAAAAAGAGATGCGGCGTAGAATGTGCGTTTGATGGCTGACCGAAGTCTTTGAGCTAGCTGTCAACTGCATAATCTGGTCACCCTTGAATGGTAGGTTAATAAAGATAACTTTCTTTGGTACCGAAGCTGTCTTTTCTAGATGTGGTCTTTCTTTACTGTGACAAGTGATAAAGTTTTCCGGATAACCATTAGCTAATACATATACATTCAGTTTTATTAGCCCATGGTTATCCGGAAAACTTTATCACTTGTCACAGTAAAAAAAGACGACATCTAGAAAAGACAGCTTCGGTACCAAAGAAAGTTATCTTTATTAACCTACCACTCAAGGGTGACCAGATTATGCAGTTGACAGCTAGCTCAAAGACTTCGGTCAGCCATCAAACGCACATTCTACGCCGCATCTCTTTTTCTCACTTGCCGAACATTTTCGATCCCTACCTACCTACGATTAAAGGACGAAATTCTATGGACTCTACTTCAAACTGTATCTACAAGTTCACCTGCAGCTGCGGTGACACCTATATAGGTAGAACCAATAAAATTATTTTGTTTATAATCATTTTCTTTTTTCCAGTTATGCTTATTGGTCGTAAAGGTAAAGGATTCAGTTGTCGTTATGAATTAATCAATGGTATACAACGTCTTCTATGCACTGGACGTGGTTGTAATTTTCATAGTACTAGTTTATCCACCACTAGTACAACTGGTGGTGGTGGTGGCGCTATTGGTACAGAACGTACAAAAGATACTGAATCTAGTCAACGTAATGCATCAAGTATCTTTTCATCATCAGTAGATTCATCCAATACTCCACCGTCGTCTGTTGAAGGTAAAGCTTCAAGTTCAATCTCTGCATTAGGATTAGCTCTAACTGGAGGCGGTGGTGGTGGTGGTGGTGGAAGCGGCGGCGGCGGCAGTAATTCAGGCTTTGGGATTAACACAGCTAATACTCTGATGCGAGGTTAGTTTTACCTTAAAAATGATTTTTCTGTTTCTAAAATGTATTGCAGTTATAATTGTTTCATGTTATAGTTATTCAGAATAAGAATAAGTAAAGTGAACAATTGTTTTCAATAAATCCCTCTTCGCGCTCTATAGTTTTTTTTAAATCCATTAACGTTAGCATACAGCAGTGGCCAATAAAGTGGAAATTAGAATTATCAAATGTTGGATCCCATAGATTTGATTGATTTCAAGTTTGATCACGAAATGATATCATTTAGAGAACCATTGAAAACTATCAGGGAATTACTGGACAGTTTATTTCGTTCTAACTCCATTATGGATAAGATTTTATTTTCATAAATCACACAGTGTTACACAGTAATATTAACTGATGACCACGTTTCGAGCACAAATTATTGCTCATAATCATATCAAGTTACACACACAACTTTTTCCTTCATTTATATACATGTATGGATATGACTAGATATTTGTTTAAAAATCAATATAGGATAATGTACATTCAGAAATAATAAAATGAATGTTATCAATCAAGTACAATCAGATGGGAAATAAGACGAGTGTTTTTATAGTCATAATAAGCAACTTGTTAGAATGTTATGATGTGTGTGAATTGAAATAGAATTTTAAGATCATTTATTATCCTCCTCTGATTTGACTGACTGGTGGTAATAATATCTTCCATATTTCTGGTATTTGCATTGAGTCATTTCTGTTGCATGTGTTGGGTGTAGATTCAATGAACCAGGATTCAGTAATCAATCTCTCTCCACATACATAGATTACTTCTTAGAATCTTAACCCTCTAGTTCGGGACACTTCATCAGCATTCACTCATGATGCTGCCAAGGATCGAACTCAGGACCTTCAAGTCATGAGGCGAACCCATTGACGATTTAGTCACTGGGATGGAATCCAATGGCTGATTAATTCTAACTTCTGCTGATCCACGATGTATGTAGCGCAACTGCCAGCTCCTGTTATGCGATGAGTAACTGTTTTTTTTCTTGCTCAACTTAATGAACCTCACTAGTCACAAATTCATCTTGTAGATTAATTTTCTAGTGTCGATTTCAAGTTTTCTCACAAATTGATGTACACTGATGAAGAAAATATCAAAGCTAGAACGATACCTACGTCTTTCCGATACACCCTGGTTTTCAATGGTTCTCTAAGCGATACCAGTCACTTGTGATTGGACTTGGAATTAGAATTATATCAGAAAGGATATTGTAGTACAAATAAAGTGGGGTGGGATGATAGTCAGAGGGAGTTTTGATTACCACTGAAATGCATTACAAAATGTTAGAACATGAAATTAAATGTGGCAATATAATTCAACGACATGGTTGCATATTTATCAACAGAAAAGGTATACATTTCATGGAATGATTTGTAGTCAATGGTGCAAGTGACAGTATGAATACAGCAGACAAAAATAAATTTTAAAAAATGGGATTTGATAGATGCAGTTTCTGTAGGTGACAAGTGAAAATAGCAATAATAATAGTGTGGTAAAAGCTCACGAAGATAATATTCCTTTTAGGATTCGCAATAAATTGGAAGGATAAAAGGAAGCTTGTGTAAAAGTAATGATAAATGTGGAGAATATTACCTAAACTAAAACACTTCTTAGTGGTGCAATGATTGAATGCTCACCAACCTTACAGGCGGTCCAGATTCTATTTTCGGCTGACACACTCCAAATCCTTGTGTAATTTTTACTAATTGATAGTAAACTAGGAAAGAAGGGAAAATTGGGCACGAGGTTAGCAACCCTACCCCATAAAATTAACACCATTGCTACCGGGTACACCATTGATGAGTCCAGCCCCAAACGAGCGAAATGGCCGTCTGATCTTTAGATTACTTCGATCTGGCTAGCAAGCATTACTGTTTAAAATGAGCGGTATGCAGCTACTCGTCTCAATCAATCAGTAGTATATGGATTTATGCAAATAAGTCAGTTTTGTTTTTCCTCTTGATTGATTGGACCGAAATTTTTACTTTTCAGCTGACACCTCGATGATGTTTGAGAGTTTACATGATGTTATTTTAGTAGACAACTTACCGACTGGTTTCAACATAGAACTTTGCAATGAAATGCAACAGTTCAAGTTTCCACACTCCAGGTAGCACAGCAAGGTAAAGAAAAGAGATTTAAAAGAACTATAGGAAGCGGAAATATGAGAGAGAAAAAAAGTATTAACATAAGAAAACAATAGTGTCTAATGAATGTGACAGATCACTAAAGGTGAGTGCATCTGCGCCATTGAGAACAATTTCGAACTGTATCACCCGTAGTATCCAGCCATTGGTTCTTAGAATACTGAGAAGGACAATCAGGCAGCATACATCTCCCTACGTGGTTCAAATTAACTTCTAAAGATTTCATGGACTGGTGGATAGTAACTAGCATCTGTGTTATCCAAGATGAGCATTTCATTTGAAATAATGAGTTCTGGATTCCCGAACAGCATCGCTCACCGAGGGCTGCAGATACAAATCCAGCTGACGAGTCCCAAATAGGACGGAATTTTCACCCTGGATTCCATGCAGCTAGTCACTATCGAACAAATGTGTTAATCAGTTATAATAAAAGTAGTAGTGAATAATCATCTCATTATCTAGAACACTCATGACAGAAATTTGGGTAGTTCCTGTTAGAGAACAGTTTACATTATTATTATTACATTTATTTATTTATCTATTAAATTTTTTCCTTAAATCTACAGTTTCAATTGACGGTGTTGAATGGACAAATTTAAAATTCTTCCAAATCACTCCTGTCTGGCGTACACATGTGAAATTTTTCCCTGTTGCCCTTTTAAATACACCAATAATTGGCGGAGATACAGCGACAGTGGCTTCGGTGAGATGACAAGCGTTTTGTTTTTGATTCATCGTCATCGTCCACCTACCTCCACCCCTCCCCCAACTCTGCGCTAACATACTTTAAGGGTGATGTTGACGATGATGATGATGACGATGTAATTTCTTGTTGTTATTTGTCCCTCTTTGTATTTTTTCTTATATTCCACTATACTTATTTTGACATTGAATATAATCTCCAAGCTTTGTACTATACTATGCTATACTCTATCATAACAATTCAGATGAGTAAATATGAATGAATGAATGAGATACTTGATTTCTCATAAATGCATTTATCTTTTTGTATCATTGTCATCATTTTAGTTGTTTTTGTTGTTGTTGTCGTCGTCGTCGTCCTCGTTGTTTTCGCTGGCTCTCATCCATCTCCTCTTAGCTTATTCTGTCTTTCCACTAAGCGCATTCATTGTCTTCCATACAAAAATATACATATGTACACTGTGTTTGTTTGTTCGCTTGTTTGTTTATTTGTCAATTTTGATTCCCGCCTTTTTTCGTTTCCGTGTATGTGTGTGTGCGTGTGTATGGCGCGCTTTTTATGTATTCTTTAACAAGGTTATTTTTATACATATATATGTAAGTATGTGTGTTAATATATCTTTTGGCATCCTTCTCTATTTACCCCTCTAGCAGTTGATATATAAATATATACATAACGATATGTATCTATGCTTGTGTACTGTTAAAGCACACGTGAACTATCTAATTATACGTTTTCTGTTTTGCTTCTTTTTTATGCCCTAATGATATTATATAATATGATCTCTGTCTCTTCGGTGTCTTCCTCCCTTTGCTTATATATTTTGATGCACAGTGGATTTCATGCTTTTTTACGATTTGCTTTGGTTTGCTTTATTATTATTATATCTATTCGAAGTTTGTTACTTTTTTTGCTCTGGCTTTTATCTTCTCTGATTGTCATTGCATTATTATTATTATTATTATTATTATTATTATTATTGATGAGAAGAACTCAAATATCCCTGCAATACAAACATTTTGATGTATAAAAACAAATCATACACATATATATGAGTGTGTGTATGGTCAGTATGTTAAGTTTAACCAATTTCATATTTCTTACGGGATAAATGTTCAATGAGTATTAATTAATATTGTAAATTTAATCAGTTATAATGCCTCACTTTTATATATATGTCATGAGGGTGTCCAAAACAATTATTCAGTGACGTATAATACATTTTATGCAACAATATTTATATACACATATATACAGTTTGTGCATTCATATATATATATATCTGGAATTGTGGCTGATTAGTAATGGTATCTGAGTATTTCCTCGATCACACACCTCGATCCACACTGAGTCTCATATCGGTTGTTGAGCCGTGCTTCAGTCAGATAGTTGTCACTCGTTACCCGCCCCCCCCCCCCAACAGTATGAAAATGCATCTGGCCTTAAAGATGTATTTCATTGCATAATTGTCTTTGTTTTTAGACATTCTCTTGATCATTAATTATTATTTGTCATCATATAATACAACCAGCTGATTAACTGACTGATTGTTTTACAATACTAACCTTAACCTAATTAGATCTTATTCAAAAGGAGATAAAATATAGAAGATATATATATATATATATATCAGTTTAAATGAAATCCAATGAAATTGTTTAAAACAAACTTTAAATTTTAGTAATATTGTACATTTATTTATTTATTTCTTCATTCATTCATATATGTATGCATCAATTGTCTTTCACCACAGAACAACTTCTATGTAAAGTGTATACGATTTAACTGTATTCACTATATATTAACATATATATATATATATATATGTACATTCTGTTGAACTAATTAATATCAAGCCAGTCTCAGATATCTTTCTTTGTGTGTTTCTCCATCTCTGTATGTGTGTATGTGTTTGTGAGAGTGAGACAACGTGTTTGTTTCATACCGTTATGTGTGTTCACATTATTGTTTAAATCATGTTCTTTTACTCTTTACCAAAAAAGAACAAATAATCAATTACACTATAATAGTAGTTACACCATAGAATAATGCTTTGTATGAATTTCAACAATAATTGTATTGTATAAGTTATATGATAACTCTTACAACATATGCATATGTTGTATCTGTTTGTGCATGTATGAATGACACTGTAATGCATTTGTTTGTCTGCTTTTTTTATTATTTTAATATTTATATGTATATGTAAAAAGTATAGGTTTTCATAATTTCTCAAAGAGTTTTCAGAATTTCTGTGCTTATATTTATATATATGTGCTTGTCCTCCTGTGTGTGTGACATTCAATTCTCTTCTTTGAGCATTTTGTTTTCTGCTCTGTCTCTCTTCCTTCTAAATGTTGCTTGATGAATATGATCATGAATTGTGTTGTCTTCTTTAGGGTTACATAACTTCTTCTTCTTTCTATCTTTATCCTGCGACTGTCGCTACTTGTGTTGTGTTATTGTTATCATTGTAATTGTTGTTGCTTCGTTTCTTTTTTTATTAAATTCCGTTGCATTCTAAGTGAGCTTCAGACTTTTAAATTTCAATAGCCAGCGATGTTGTTGGGGTCACTAATCTCACGCCCCACTCTGGGCCTTTGCTCTTTCCTACCGTCTAAACGAGACTTTTCAAGAATACGTCAGTCGGAGGCATCGAATTTCAGACCATGTGTACGTAGTTGTTGTTGTTGCGTTTCTTCCAGCTTCCAGTTCGTCTTACTGTAATTTTAGTGTATTCTTCAAATTGTCTTTCTTACTGTTCTTTTTCAATTAATACAGTATTATTTCTGTCATTCATGTGATGATACAATTTTAATTTCTTGGTTTTTTTTTTACAACAAAAGATTATCATTTGACTAAGCTGGTTATTCCATTTCTTCTTGTATGTATTCTGTTTACGTCATCTATTTTTTGTACCTTTTTCTTCTTCTTCTCTTTTCCTGCTGTTTTCTTTTGAAAATATCTATTCTATTCTATTTATCTAACAGAAAAGAAATATATATACATACATATATATGCTGAAAAGCCTCATATATATTTAAATATTATGGGTAGAGTATATTTCTGGATTACAAATTACTCTTAGCAACGATCGTGTATAGTGGTGAAGGGAGGAAGTGAAAAAAGCCAAGGAGATGGGGAAAAAAGGATGTCCGTGGTAGGTAATGTCAGTCAATTATTTAGATTTATTGGGGGAAATGGGTTGTAAGCCAAAAAATATATATATCAATGATGAGCGAAATGATTTCTGAGAAGAAAGATAGACAACTGAAACTTTGGAGGGGACATTTCAGCTGACCTACAGCGATGCTAAATTTGTCTAGTATTCAAAAACTTGTCTTTGTTGGGGTGTAGACATCGGTTATCCAAATGTAAATGAGGCTGCAAAGCCTGTCTGTAGTATAAAAAGAGGGAAATAAGAGTGAGACACGTCTTGCTGTGATAATCATAAGAGGATTACCTTGACAAATGTTGTATCTAAAATTCTAGATTCGATAATCACGCATATATTGAGTGGTGCTCAGGAGAAACAAGCCAATGTAAACCAAACATGGTTTAGGTTAGAAAGAGGGTGTCTCCAGTTTATCTTCACCCTTCAACAGATTCTGGAATATAGGCATACTTACCGGCGTCCAACCATTGCATTATTGAGTGATTTGAAGTCGGTATTTCACTCCGTCGATCAAGATGTGTTGTGGCAGTGTCTAGCCATGAAGGAAGCGCCGAGAAAGTAAGTTGCACTAATCAAGTCACTCGACTGGAACTCATGCAGCGGTGTAAGCAAGTTTTCATCTGAAATGAAAACAGACAGTGGTGTCCATCAGGGATAACTATTGTTCCGATTTTCGTTTAATTTCGTAGATGTACTAATTAGAGTGATCTCAATAGAATTTGACACCTTAGGGATTGACTGACTATTAGAAAATAGCCTTGTCGATTTAGACTAAGCGGATGATATAGTCCTTCTAGGTGAAGATGCTGAAAGATTGCAGTCTTCTGAGCAGACTGACATTTGCCAACTTAAATCATCTTTGGCGTAGATGTGGTATCTGGCTATCGATGGAAGGCCGCCTCTACTGAGTAGCAGTTCGCTCTTTAGGACTATGAGACATGACTGTTGAAGGTGAAAAGCTTACAGATACTAGCTGTTTTTGACCATAAGTGTCTAAGTTGTATCTCCAGTGTCAAATGTGTATAAAGTAGTTGGTAAATAAGGCAGCTCAGCCAATGAGGCTATGATGCGAAATGGGTTGAAGTGGCTAGGAAACACGCCACGCATGTTGAGCCACTGCCTTTCACGTCGAGCAACATCAATGAACATCGGATTATGTTGCAAAAGGGTTGTAAGTGAACTAATCGAAACATAGGATCTATCCTGATTATCAGTGCTAGTCACGTAGGGAGATGTAGATTGCTTGATCTAGGTCCTCAAGACGCTAAGAACTAGTAGCTTGCGACTGTCTGTGATACAGTGCAGATGCAACCTCTCTTAATGAACTCACATATTCATCAAGTTTTCATTATTCTCCACGTCCTAATTCTTTCTGCCAAACATTCCCATTCATTGCAGCCCCTCTGAATTGTTTCTCTAGCTATGCGTATCACACGGAGTGTAGAAACTTGAACTGCTTCACCTTTATGCAAATTTCCACCTTGAAAACTTGATCAAGCTTAGATTTTAGTGTGTTCCATAAAAGTGAACTGGTGAATCAGTAAACCCACATAAATGTATTTGGTATTACCCCATCTAGGTATACTTGCATTGTATTCATACACTTCAAAATTTTGTCAATTCCGTAATACTACTTAAAAGAGTTCTTGAAAATTTTATGACATAGAAATAATGAAAGTATTAGTATGTGTCGTATTTTGATTGATTATTCAATATCAAAATGTATCATAATTAGCAGAGACAATATATTATGTGCATGACAAATTACTTGACCAAATTATCACTTGTGTGGTGCTGAAGATGCAGAGAGATGTAAAAAATCTATAAAGATTAG